GAACCATAAGGTTATTTGTTGTGTTTTTTTGGGACTGCAAAAAACAGATCTAAAAATATTCCATGGTTAAGATCTCTATGACAGTGGGATCTATGCGCTCCCGTAATTCGTATTTTTTACTTTATTGAGCGTACATCTCTCTACTATTTGCCTGAATAAGAGCTTGCCTGAGAACGCCAACACCAAAAACTTGCGTCCGAAAACGGAAGCGATTTCATTTCCCAGTTTGCTGTGAGCTCGCAGGAGTAAGGGAATACACTGAGGAACACAAGTACCTCTACAGTATGAAATAAACGGTTCCGGTGAAGCGCTCTGAAATCGGAAAATAATTTGCTTGTTAGGCTACACTACATAGGGATAATAGCCTTTCGAAGAAAATCGACTTATTGCTGTGTCAATGTAAAAAAACACACTTGAACCGCCCTATAGTCCACATGAATTGATTTGCGTGGCACACCTTGAAGGCAGTTGGCACGATAGGTCCCCAAGACGAGTAAGACGTGCTGTGCCCGTGAGGACGCGCTGCGCTAGCGCCTTTTCAAGAAAGGTATCCTTATATGGCCCTATCAAGCTGCAACATACCTGACCCGGACGCCCACCGCGGTTGCCCGCCCACAAATGGACGACCGTACCTGATGCTCGTATGGCTTCATTTGCGAAGTAGAATATGAAGCTTGACAATGAAGAGTCGCGGTGCTGTATGGATACATAGTAAATATGCGCAGACGTACCTACCGTAGCGCTTATTGCGCTTACACCAGCCCGGTGAAATTGTATAAATGATTATTTCTATTGCTGTATTTCAAGTGTGTCGCAAAATTCAAACAAGCTGCTTCAGTTGGAATCTAAGGTTTTCTGAGGGTGTGGATCGCGGCATCGTGCGCCCTCGCAGACCATTTCCTAGCTAGTTGACTGGGCAGACGAAACCTCAGCTGACTTGAGAGATGCAAGCACTACCTATACCTCCGCGCAAACCGGAAAATAGAGCTCAAGACCCTGTTCTCTACTATTGGTGATGTTCTGTGGACACTTTTGTGCTGTCATTTCATGTTACGCATTGATCACCAACCATCGATCCTTTCCGCCTTATTATTTACCATGAAAATTCAGGGACCAATGAATCAGGTGCTGCTCATCCTCGTTACTGTAATTATTGAAATCGCTTTCTGTTTGACAAGGGAAGAGCTTCTGGAGCATTTGAAAAGTAAACAAGACACACAAAATACGTTCGATGCACGTGTACCTCGCCTCATTCGCCCCATTGGTTAGGTTAATGAAGAGTGAGTTATTGTTAATCGGCTTCAGCTTTATTTTTTCGAAAAGGGCTAGAAAGAAAAAGCTTACAGTTGCGTGAGAACGGCGTTTTTTAGTTTTTTTGGAAATTGCCCCAATTTTTCTGGGAGATTTATTGCAATGTGGAATCTATTAAACTGGTTCTGCATCCCGGTTATATTTATTGCTGCCGAAATCCTTTAAAAATTTTCCGAAGTATGTCTGCCGCAGTCATTTCTTGGTGAATGGAAGGGTGGGGATAGGAGCATAGCTAGCGCGGCTTTTTCACCAGTGATTCATCTGAGTCCTAAACAGCTTGCTGCAACGCTCCTCCTGGCCGCGCTCTACGCCACCGCTCGCTCACGCCGCCTCTCGTTGAGGGGACAGTGAGTGGCGGCGATTCCTTTGGCAGCAGACGCTGAGGGGTTCCAGGGGGCTGAGTTTGGCGCGGCACCAGCTACTTTTCCACCAAGTGTGGTCGCCTGTCGGCCTCCTTGACACGCCTGGTTGGGGGAGAGTGGGTTGGTGCCGTGACAAATCCGCCCTCCTTGACACAAACCAGCAACCGCAGCGAAGAGATTGTGTGCATTGGCTGTAGCCTATAAATTTTGGTGACGTCTACTGCTTTCTTGAGCATTCAAGAAAGAAATTGAAAATTGCTTAACATAGTCGAGGTCTTTGGGAAATTTTGAACCAACGTAATACATAGTTAGTGAGCATAACTTCAACTTGATCTGGGAATTTCATCAGACCACGCAATTGTTCATTTTTCAGACCAATTTGGCCTCGAGTGCTCGAGAAGGTGAAGTCAGAGGCAGAGCTCTTCTTTGACGACGATAATTTTGCTTACCAGGTTAGTCACACACCATTGTTAGAACTGTCGCTAACTTGTCCACATCACTTTCAAAAGAAAATTCGGATATAATTTTCGGCACTCTTCAGTTCCCCACTCTTCACTCCCCACTACTCCCCCAGATTCCTTAGGGTTTTGTCAGTTTTTTTGGGAATCAGGAGATCGAACCATCGCAAGGAGAAGTTTTTGGGAAGAACGGGGTTCTGAGTTGCTTATCGACAGGCGGTTTCGAGGATAAACCGATGACATTTGAGTCCAACCCTCCAAGCACAATTACTTACAATCCTAGCCGAAATCTCCTGGAAACCGATCAGAGTCCGGGCTGATTTTTGAGGAGTGGGGCAGCGGGTACCTACACAGAGCTAGAAAAACTTCGTCAGACGCGACAAGGGTTGTGTGCGCTCAAATGAGTAGAAATCCACAATCTTCCCAAAAACAGCCAGAAATACGACCCTATTTCCCACAACTCAATACAACCTCCCTTATGTCTAGACTTCAACGGGGATGATGAGCACTGCAGCAGTGAGGATAGTAATCATCCTACTATATATAAACGGCAACGTCTGTTTGTCTGTCTGTCTGTCTGTCTGTCCGGAAATTCGGAATCACCTGAAGAGCCAGTTGGAGGGGGCGGGTCAAGGGTGAAGGGGGTGGCGGGGGGCGGGGGGTATATACAAGCAGTGAAACGGTAAAGTGCGGTAATTCTCAAAACAATTTTTTTCGACCATTCGGGGCCGATCCGACTGGCCCTCCCTCTCATGGAAAACTTCTCACCGGGACCCACTTCACACCCGGAAGGAGGATCGGCCGGCGAAGCCGGCCGATCCGACTGGTTGAGATGATAACTGTGAAATGCGCCACCTACTCGGTTTCCCTGCAGTCAACAAGCGGTTCTATTCTGGGCCAAGTCAATGACGTGCTTGCTTTCAGCAGCTTCCATCAGCAGTATGGCTGTCACTAGACACGGATATTCCTTCCATTCTTACACACTAATGTTTACCATTACATAAGACCTAAGAATTACACAAAAATTGACAAGTTAGCAGCACCTTTTTATAACACTTTTTAAGGGTTTGTGATCAAATGAATATACTTCAGGTGGCTCCTCATCGAGATGCTGTAGCACTTATCCGAAAACTGGACAAGGAACAGAATTACAACACTGTGTTACGATTCTTAGAAAAATTCACGTAGTGCCGATTCTCACAAACAGTAATAATTGTAATAAATACGGAATATTTCGATATACGCCACCTATTCAGTGTAATGCCGACGGAAGCATCAGATTTTCAAAAGCAGACAGTTAAATGTCTAAATATCCGCATAACGTCCACGCTCCACTGTGTCATACTTCTGTAAGAAATTCTGTGGAAAGAGAGAGAAATTCGTTCGAAGATCTTGCGTTTACTATACTTGTGAGCGAAGTGTATTGCAAACGACGACGTTTCTTACGAGTGGAATTCCGTAGGACTTCGTGTCGAGAATGTGCGACCAATGTAAGACAAATGAAGGACTTGTGTTGTATTTTGGCCTAAAAGGCAGTTGGCATGGATAAATCTCCGCAAGACCGCAGAGGATCATTACGCTCGGGCAGAACGGAATTTCCGCGACCCCTGGGAAGGCCAGGCGCTGCATAATGCTCTTCCCAAAGAAGGTGCCCTTATGAGGGCCCTATCAAGCCAACATTACGACCCAAACGCCCGCCCGCCCACAAATGGACGACCGTTCCTGACGCTCTAATCGATTCATTTGCTAAGCAAATTATGAAGCGAAGGGATTGGTATGAAGCGGCCGTGATGCTGCATGGATATATGAGTACACATATGCAGCCGTACCTTCGGTAGCGGTTATTGGCAAGATGCCTACGGGAAACTCGTCCAAAATTGATTTCTAACACATTGAGAACGGAGGCTCTTTCTTCGCAGGAGTACGTGGTGAGGAAGCCAGGAGTATGCGACTTGTATCTCATCCAGCATCGTCACAAAGGATCCAACCATACTGAATAATCGGTGCGATGTGTGAGTGTGCTATATATTACTATCGTGCCTGGCTTTTTTGTACTCTTGTACACCATTTTACCTCCTCTATTTGGTTTGTCATGCGCGCGCTCGGTGCTTTTTAAAGGCAGTTGGCACGATGGTTTCCTACTTAGCCTAAAATGCTAGTAGGGCGCTGTATAGTGGGGAAATGGCGAAAGAACGGAGTGAAACGGTCAAAATCCTGCGAAGAAAAAGCCTCCGTTCTCAGTGACTTGTAAATCGATTTCGGACGAGTTTCCCGTAGGCATCTTACCAATCACCGCTACCGAAGATACGGCTGCATATGTGTACCCATGTATGCATGCAGCATCACGGCCGCTTCATACCAATCCCTTCGCTTCATAATTTGCTTAGCAAATGAATCGATTAGAGCGTCAGGAACGGTCGTCCATTTGTGGGCGGGCGGGCGTGGCGGGCGTTTGGGACGTAAAGTTGTGGCTTGATAGGGCCCTTATAAGGGCACCTTCCTCGGGGAAACCGCTATGCAGCGCCTGCCCAGGGTCGCGGAATTCTATCCTGCCAGGAGTATTGATCCTAGTCGTCTTGGGGGATTTATCGTGCCAACTGCCTTTAATATGAACCTTCAGTTCTCAAAGCCATTTATGGAGGGAGAATCTCGCTAAGGCGCTATTGACCT